GTAGCGGATTTTACTGCGCATTATTCAGACCAGTGGTTGCAAGTGGTTGTTACCAAGTTTGTAGGCAAAACAAATCACCCGGAAGGCGAGTTTCAAAATGGACAGTGGAAGGGGTTTTAGAAAAGCTGGTCAACTGCTTGTGACCAGACCGGCCGTAAAACCTCCCCTGGCTCTCCCAAACCCAACTGGCAAAACCCGAAAAGCTGAAAAGAGTGTCAGACTGCAGAGTGCCGGGGCGACCACCATTACTTGGCTGGAATGCAGCAGCCGGCAGCTTCTTGTTTATTTATTTTTTTATTGTGCAGAAATGACCAGGCAAGCACATACCAAAAGCACAATGGAATTGTTATGTAGTAAGTACTACCCATAAAATCAGGTGGATATACCTGCGTTAGCAGGCACAGAGGCCACTGTGGGTGGGTGAGTCGATTTTGTTGAAATGCAAGTGCAGACTCTGAAGCAGGCTGGTCTGCTCAGTATCCTTCGGAATGAGGGGGCGCACCCTTCCTCCTGCGTTTTTGTCTTAAAAGAAAACGTAAGGTGCGTAGATTTAAACTGAGAAACGCTGTGAGTGCTGGACTATTTCGGGAAGAACTCACGCAGATGTTTTTCTGTAGCAAAGGTCCGTCCGTGCTGCGGAAGAGACGCATTCGCTCATGAACTGCTATTGACAAGGATGATAGATGCAGCGAGGTACTTAGTGAGCGCTGGAGAGCAGAGTTGATTGCATTTTACAGTCTCTGTATTTCTCTGTTTATTGCTTGTATTCTGTCATTAAGCAAACAGGTTCCTAATATAGCAAATCTCTCTAATCAGTAAAGCGAGGGAGAAAAGAACCAGAAGCATCGTTAATTACGAACATTTGGCTGCAGCCTGGACAGTCTGTTGCTATTGGATCGGGCAGCTTCCTCGGGTTTAATTTTCTGGAGGTAGAGCAGAAACTGGCTTTTCTTAGGCGTGGAGGCGAGTGGAGAAATGTTGCATGCCCCGCTGGCTGACAGCTACCTAAAAACCTGAGATTAAACACTGGCTTCTCTGCCGAAATGGATTCCCGGGGCTGAAATGCCAGGTTCCAAGTGGGTGCACTTCTAAGTCTCCGATTCCATAAACAGGGCCAGCGCGCTGCTCCAAAGCCCACCGCCGCCGGGCCCCCGGGGCCGGGGAGCCTACTGTGGGCAGAACTCCTGTGCGCATGCGCAGAGGCCGAGGCGGGGCTGGCCTGGGAGCTGTAAATTATGTGTGTTTCTGTGCGGGAAAGCCATAGCACCAGGGCAGGCTTTCCAAATGCTAATCACCGGGCTAAAAAGCCAGGGGAATCGACAGCCGGACTCCAGGTAGCAGAGGTTAACAGCATCTAATGCATTTCTTAACCCTCTAGTGCCAGGGACCGGGGAGGTCTGGCCCCGCAATGACGGGGCCGTGGAAATTCTATTACGTGACGTGCCTGGACTTGCAGATGACTGCCGGTGACAATTTTATGAAACTGCTGGACAGGCTCACGAAGTGGCTAAAGACCAGGTTCCCCGGATTTCCAGAGAGAGAGTGCCAGGCTTCTGGTTTGGGGCAGGTTTCTCCAGGATCCTTTTCATCTCTCCGCTTTCAAGAGGAGAGCCTGGTGGTTCTGTGCTTTGGTGGTGGCGTCTTCCCCCGCCGCCGCCATGTCACAGTGAATTAGCTGGTAGGGAAGCCCTCTTTCCTAAGAGAGATTAAATAATGCATTTTTCCACGGGCTGGAACAATGGTTAAAATTGACTTGTAGAAAAATGAATCCGTTCTCTTCTTCTTCCCTGGCTCCTTTTTAGGAGATGTCATGTTTTAGAGTCACACACTGTACGGTTCCGTGTCTGGGGCGCGTGTCTCTAAGGAGCAGGCTGCCTTGGGCGACCTTGAGCGCCATGCCGGCACTTGCGCTGTGACACTTTTGGTTTTATCGGTTAGAACCCGGCGATAAAAGGGGTTCTCCTTCCAGTTTCTGGCTTACCTTATATCTTACAGGATCTAATTTTTTTTAAGCTGTTCTGGCCCCGTCTCAGTTTCCATCAACTGAGACAGCATTTAAAGTATGTTAAATACTCTTTGCAAGAGTGGAAAGTGGTGGTGGGGGCGGGGGCGCCCTGTAATTGGATGTTAGCATTTATCATACCTGACTAGCAGACAGTGATCGCTTGATGATGCTTTAAAAAATGCTCAGGGAGAAAGCCTTTAAATAGCAGGCTGTTCAGGCTTCTACAAGGGCCTCAGGAGCCAGGTTTTCTGAGGTGGGCTGTGGAGGCAGCTTTCTGACCTCGGGGTCACTGGTGGGGTTCAGACTGTATATAGGACCGATAAGCATGCAACCAGCCTGACATGCACCTGGTTAGAGTCCCAGGCTCTGCCCCTCCATCCGCAGCCCATGAACCCTGAGAGGCGCTGGACGTCCAGCCTGTCACTCTGCCTGTAGCTGGTGAAATTCTGTCTGCACAGATCAGACTCACAGACCTTCCTGTGGTCCCTGCTCAGGTCTGCACCAGACCGCTCCGTCGGAAGCAGAGCACTTCACGGCCTGTGTGCGTGGACCGCTAAGCCTCTGGAGTGCTACGTGCATCTGTGGGCTGGGAAGCAGGAGAGAGGGTGGTCCCCCAGAGCATCTGGAGGGACCTTGCTGTCCATTATTACTTTTACTCAGCATTTCATCCACTTACGCCAACCTGAAGGGTCCTCCAGGGCAGAAGAGCTTGGGGCGGCTGCCTCCAGATTTAGTGGGGCTACAGGGAGACAAAGCCAGAAGGTGACCATTTCCTTTCCATAGAGGCCACTCTGGGGGAAGAAGAGACTTTACAGACTTGGAAGTGGTCTAAATCAGCGGTCACCAACCGGTGGTCCCTGGACCACTGGTGGTCTGTGAGGTCCAAAAGGTTGGTGACCGCTGGTCTAAATGCATCTTCCCACGTGACTGAACACTTACCCCAGCCACTCCCAGATGGAGGGCAGGAGGCTGGGAAGTTAGACCTGTGCACGTCTACCAGGTTGTATGCCTGCAGTCCTGTACACAGATGAACGCTCAGTGACTAATGAGGACCAGAAATATATCTATGGAGGTCCATAGTCCACCTAAGAAAACCTGTTAAGACGGGAGACTTCTAGTGTAAGGCGTACAGCTGATAAGTATCTAGGGTTGTGTATACGATGAGGAAAACGCTGGGTGCTGAGCTAGTGATGCAGACCCAAGTGGGAAGGAGGCCGGCCTAGCCCTTGGGACTCTTAGAGGCCACTGTGGGCAGCGCAGCTGTGGGCACACGTCCAGAAACACCTCGAAGTTGTCGTGTGTTCCAGATTAGAAGTCAGGCTGCCTTCTCTGCACATTTGAGTGAACTTCTTAGTTATGCAAAGGCCTTCAACAAAAGTTTGTGTCTTTTGTAGATTATGGCCTAGGAAAGAAAAGACAGAATGTGATGTTTTAGGGTCATTTTGGTGTCTGGGCACAATTCCAATTTATTTCTCAGACAGAAATAAAACACGTGAAGAAGTTCTACACATTTTTCTCTGCAGGTAACAATGCCAGAGACCAGATGTGCTATTAATATAGATTAAAAGCAGGCTTCGGAATAAGGTTCAATTCCGCTTCCAATTCCCCCTCTGATCTTCTTATATAACATTTAGTGACCTTTGAGCAGCCTGGGGGTGCTTTCCCGTGTCTTACTCTTGATGCCTGTTTAAAGGTTTCCATTTCATACTCACAGCTGGCATATGCAAATACAAGTAAAAGATTATGATGCCTCCCAAGTAGCATTATGGCCAATAAATTACTCCTTGGGTAAAGATGCTATCATTTTAGCCCGTGTGTCTTCAGTGAGTGGCAGAGTCTTCCTACAGCAGGCCCGGGCGTGCCTGCCAGTGCCATTCCCACGGGACTGCTTGCCCAGATGCTCCTGATTCTGGTGTGATGCCCAACCAGGTTCATCCTGGTGGCAGATGAGCTCTTCGACATGCGGTGCCACTGGGCTATTTGGGTGGTGGAGGTCCTGCGAGGGGTTGTGTGGGTTTGGGGGCAGGGAAGGCATGCCAGGGTTCCCTGGGAGAAACACGGTAAAGTGGGAAAGAGCACAGTTTTGTTCAAGATTTTGAGAGACCTGCTGTGTCCTGATTCCCAAGTAAATTGCTGTGTGGTCTTGGATAAGTCACTTAACTTCTCTGCACCCTAATTGTTTACTTTCATAAAACAAGGAGGCTGCACCCGGTCAGCAGTTTTCATTGCGATTGTGTGAGTAATGGAACCTTTCCTTCAACTCGGTTCTCAGGGACAGCCCAGCGGAGACTTGTTCTGGTTGTATGGAATTAGGGAACATATAGCCTCACAGCTCAGCCCCCTGGCGACTGAGTGTTAAGAATGCTGGATCGGGCGTCTGTTATGCCCGCAAAATTCCTCGAGAAGACCTCCTGTCCTGTCAGGCAGTGAGTGTTTTACTCACCAGAGGGCAGCCCCATGGGCCCAGGGACTCCATCCTTTTGTTCATATCGCGATTGGAAAATAGCTTGGTAAGTGTTGACTGGAGCGATGAATAAGCAAATGAACAAACAAGTTTTAGGAGCACCTATGTCTATATTACTAATACATGGGGATTTTTATTGCAACATTTGTACTTTGAAGGTACGTCCCAGAAATTAACATTCAGAAACATGAGTTCAGAATATAAGTGACTTCAAAACTTGGTCTTTATTAATAACCTCATCTTGTCCTTCCTCTGCTAGCCCCAGGGAGCTATTGAGCCTTTGAAATGGGGTAGGTCCGAATTGAGACGTGCTGTCATATTTTGAAGACTTGGTATGGAAAAAAAAAGAATGTGAAGTACCTGGATCATTTTATATTGATTGTCCGTGGAGATGGCAAACATTGGATTAAATAAAATGTTATTAACTTCACCTGTTATCAGTGGCACCTAGACAGTTGATTAATGGATCATAGTAATTACTCTTTCATATTATGTAGGAGTGATTTTATGTGTGTGTTTGTCTCTCCTCAGGCTCAGAAGCTGAAATCCAATGTGTCGGGTAGTACACACCTCTGTCTTTCTGATGTAAGTTGTATTTCTTTTCGGAGTCTCCTTGCATTATGGATACAGGGCCCCTGGGGCAGGGTATGATGCGAAGGGCTCAAAGACAACGTAAGTTTCTGGTCCAGAAAAAAACGTAAGGCACCTCCACGTTCCTCTGGCCTTAGAGCAGATGCAGCCATTGGATAAAGTTAGAACCAAGTAAGGGACCTGGGCTCCTCACCTCAGAACCGGACCCACCACGAATACCATTGTCCCAGAGCCACGGGCACATGCTATCGTCCAGCACAGAAAAGTACTCTCACTGCTCACCGGATGTCCTCTAGCTCCAGTTCCTTTCATTGCCATAGCAACCCAGAGGTATCTGGGGCAGCCACGTTACTCTCCCCAATTTATAGGTGAGGAGATGGATGATTCTGTCATGATCCTGGCTCACTGTGGTGAGATGCGACATAATGGGATTGAGCCGGTGCTGGAGGCGGGAGGGAGAAATGCATCCTATGGAAGGTCAGCCATGCTGATTAGGAGGGGGCAGGTCCGGATTGACACATGCTGTGTCATAGATTGAAGACTTGGTATGGGAGAAAGAATCTCAGTGGTTTTATATTGATTGCATGTGGAGATGGCAAATATTGGATTAAATAAAATACGGGAAGCCTGGGTTCTGGCTTGGGCTCTCCTACAAACCAGCAGGGCAGACTCCTTCGTCTACAAAATCTAGGCCAGTGAAGGGCAGGACTGCCACTGCCTGCTCTGAGGATCCCCCCATGTGACGTGGGATCCTTCTCTATATGAGCCGGTATTGACCTGGGCAAGTGTTCTCAGGTGATTCTTCCTGTCCTTCCATGATGGGGAGGGTCAGCCAGCATTCCACCCCAGTCAGTGGTCCCAGAAGGACAGGCTTCCATGCTGCGTAGTTACTAGGGGATCTGGGAAGAGGAGGGGCGAATGGCATTTCACACCCCCCCCCCAAGTGGATTTTAAAATCCGTAACAGAGGAGCAAAAATATAAATGTTGAGCAGTTTGCCAGAAGTATCTACTTCTCACCCAGATTCATGATGCTTCCCATACAACCACAAGCCGGTGAATTGGGAAGCCCTGGGCCAGCTTTGATGAGTGACAGGGGCTAGTTAGGGGCTGGGGGTGAGAGAGAGAGAGAGATGTGTGGTTAAACACACGGGGGTGGAATGAACCCACACGGTGGATGGTAATGACAGCATTCTCTCTTACAGCGTGATTACGAAAAGGATGGTCTCGCTGGTGCCTCCAGCCACATAACCACAAAATCAATGGCTGCCCCTCTGAGCTGCGGTCTGAGCCCACGGCTGGTTCTGGTGGTAACCGCCCTGTCCACCCTCTTACCTTTGTCCTTGGCAGAAACGTTATAGCTGCGTTTCAAGAACGACATGGACCTGTAAAAAGACAAACACCAAGTTATCTGTTTCCTGTCCTCTTGTATATCTGAAATTCCAGTTTTAGGCGCTCCGTTGAAACATTGCTCAAGCAGTTTCATCCAACTGAAACTTTTTCCTCTTTTTTTTTTTTTTTTTTTTTAAGAAAGCTTCTTGTGATCCTTAGGGCTTCTGTGGGATTCCCAATGCAGTGCTACATTCCAAACTCAAAAGGCTTTGGGGTATGTTGTATTGTAAAGGGACCGTTTGTACATCTGGCTGTAAAGCGAAAGGGGGCCAAGTTTTTTCATGATGATGATGTTAATCATTTAACCCTGCCCTTTACTCGCTAGCGAAGGGGTTAGTATTGCTCAAGAACCTTCCCCATTTCATGTGGTGGCTTTGATTTCTGATGACATCACTGCAGCCTCACAAGCTTTTGGGTCACAAATCAGAGATTCCCCTAGAGAGAATCCTTGATGGACTTTGTGCAGACGAGCTTGTACCAACGCTCGCCTTTCTGTGCGTTCTGCCCTTCCCGCGCTCACGTTGGTGTTCCGTAGCCAGTTCTCTCTCCTACAAAACCAAAAGCACCCGTCACACCCAAAGGCGGTGTCTGGCTTCTAGTGCAAACAGAGTGCGGGGCGTGGGTGTGAAGCCTCACGAGCCTCGGTCATTGACCTCCCTCCCCTGAGCCTTACCCACGCGAGAAGCCCTCCACTAACAAGCGCCCAACATAGCTGAAGCGTTGCTCTAACCTCTTTACATGTTTGATCTTCTATGTAGAAAACAATTTACTACTAAATGATTTCAACTGTTGGCTTTCTATATTTTGAAAGTAATGACCTTGTCTCCATTTTTTTACTGATGGTTTAATACGAAACACACGGAGCTCGTTTTCCTCCCCCTTAAGTAGGGTTAGCTCCGACACTCACTCCCTGAACAGCCCTTCCCAGGCCGATCCGAGGGGCCCCGTGCTTGAGCAGAGAGCTCTGCGTCACGTTGCTGCAGACAGGAGGAGGAGACAGAGCAGCCAGGCTCGTCTGTTATCATTTCTTGTTGAAATGCATGTGCATACCTATGAGGAAACCGGTGGCCACTGGAAAATGTTCTGCAATGGCTGATGGCACCCTGGCCATTGCCACAATCCAGTACCTTGATTTTCAGGTTGCCTGACAAAGGCAGCTTTGATTGGGACAGGAGACGGGGACATGCTACCCTCTCTGCCGAAGCGGGTCCATGCCAGGGTTCAGAGCTCTCTCCGGACTGCGGTGGCTTGGCCGCTGTTGAGAGCAGTTTGGGCTGACGGTCATCAGGAACCTGCTTGCATTTGTTCTACATTCTCCAGGGCAGACCGTGACTGACACTGCGAGAAGGAAGGATTTGTGGATCCAGGTCGACACTTGGCACAGAAACACAGAACAGGACTCTGGATAGAGGGCATCTGGCTTGTGAACGGCATCTCATCTTCCATCGTCCGCTTCCTTAAGGAGACCCTAGCGTGTGCTTGGGAAGTCTGGTTGGAATGGCGCGATTCAGCATCTACAGTGATTGGATGCTGGTAGCCACGTTTCTCCAGAACCAAATCAAAAGAGATTCCATCTTTGCAGAGTGCTGGGAACATCACTTTTCTTGTCACATCGGTAGAGGGGCTGGAGGAAGAAGCCATGGTACCTATCTCATTGCTGATTCCCTTGGCCCAATGATGTTTGCCTTGTAAGAATTAGTCATATTACTGGGGTTGGAAAATCTTCACTCCAAGCTGAAGGCATAGTCTTTTAGCTCTATGGGTGTCTGAAGTGCATTTATAGCCAAATGTTAATAAATATAAATGGATAATACTAAGAACCAACTTCTTTTCACTTCAAAATGTTTTCAAGGGAAACTCGCTAAACAAATTTGATTAGTGAAAAGTTTCCTAAAGACTTACTTTGAATAAACCCATTAAATGTGTCCAAATATTTGGAATTCCAGTCATCTATGACAGCATAGCCCTTACAAGGCATATTTTGTTTTAATTAAGATATCCCTGTGTATCTACACTGGACTAATAGCATGTGGGTCTGATTCCATGTGGTCTACTGTGGAAAGCTATTGATAACTTCTGCAGGAAACAGCAGCTCTAATTAGCTTCAGACGACCCAGAGGAGAGGGAGTTATCAGGGCTAACAAGGGGACCCTGTACTGAAGAACACATGGATGTTCAACACATAAATTAAATTTTGAAAAGCCGCATCTATCACCAACAAAGATCTCATTTTTCTTCAGCGATAGAAGCCTATTAGAGTTACCAAATCCTCAATTTGAAAATAAATTGCTGATTAAATAGCCGGGGTGGGGGAAGGACAACACATTAGAGAGCTTCTTACACCATCACGCCGAGCACGTGTTTCTGCCATTCGGTGATCTCAGTTGAGCTCAGTGGCCCTGACACCCCATCCTGTGCCCCGGGACTGGAGCAGGCAAGCGACTTCAATCTTTTCCGTGTCTGATTGTCTTTTGCAGCACTCAAAGCAAATATCATTCACTACCTCTTGTCTTTCAGTCCCTGCATTTAGGGAAGCACCCAATACACAGGCTGTCTGCTGAGGCTCGGGCCTTTGACAGAAAGCAGCTCATTATAGTTGACTTCGACAAAACCAACACTGTCATTTCTGTCCAGGTAGACCATGACTCCCAGATCAAGGCTAGCCACACCCAACGTATTTCAGAGAAAAAAGAAAGGCACGTTCGCCAAACCAATTAGAAGCACATTCATTCCACTTTGATGTTGGATCTCTTTGGCTAATCTTTGTTTTGTGTGTGTTGTTAATAGAGCACAGGGAGGAAGGCGTGCACAATGGAGAGAGGGAATGAGTTCAGAAAGCCACCTGAATCTGTATTTTTCCATATTTGAATTGTTCGAGTCTCTAGTAGAAAAATTGTAAGTTGAGAATTGCATAGGTATTTTTCACCAAGTATAGCAAACTGTATCCCAAATGCGATAGGAGTGTGGTTTCCATTAAAATCAATTGTTTAAAAAAACGTGTTTATCCTGTAGTTAAAAATGTCTTAGAAGCCGTGTGTCTGAGTTCATCAAATACAGGGCAGGGCTCCCCCCAGGGCTGTGTGGCCTTTGGTTTGGGGTGTGTTAAGACTGTTCTTGTCATGCGCATGCTCTGAGGATGGGTCCTCTCCAGCTGCGTCCTGCCTCCCACCTGCCTCTTGTACAAATCCTAAGTCCAACTCTCCCCACACTCCAGCTACTGCCCTAGGGAAGGGGGAGCAGAAGCGTTTCGAAGTCAGTGGCAAGTGCTTGGGGAAGGAGATGTAAGAGCAGAGGGAGTTAAAATAAATCAGCGCATTCTTTTCTCAGAATGCGGCATAAATGTATTTCTGCCGTTAGTTTTTACCAAAGAGCGGCTTTGGAGGAGCTGTCTCTTCAGACATGTGTTTTCATTCATGTAGTCAGGCGTGTACTACTTCTTTGAGTCTAAACTCTGGGCCAGAAAAGACCTGCTGAAGTGAGTTCCCATACTCTAGTTCTCCTTCAAAGCTGTCCTTGATCTCCTGAATTCATACCCCTGTGATCTTTGTTGCTTCTGCTCTTTGATAAAGCAAATGAGATCATGGGAGACCGTCTTTTTAAGGAAGACAAAAGCAATGGCAACAGGCAAGAGGAAATTGCGAATGGCCCAGGCACGGTCCCAGCCGAAGGGCCGATCTGCACTGACCTTGAGGAGTTTGGAGAGAGGAGGCGAATCAAGGTGCAACAGGACACCTGGGTGGGTGACGATCACACAGTCCATGGATGTCCCTTCCTGATCCAGATAGGAATCGTGTCCTAACAAAAAAGCAGAGGTCCTTCAATTAGACAACAGTGTCTCTGGGGGAAGCAAGCCTGAACTAATACCTGGATAACAGAGAACTTGTCTGTTTAGAGATTCTAAAGGAGTAAAACAGCTGGGAATTGGGTTGGACATCCTAAGAAGCTAAATTCTTCTCTTATTCCTGAGACAGGCTTCTCGTGTGTAGATCGGACACGTCTTGAGTTCGACACAGCTTTTATTCTCAAGTGACCATTTGTTTTAAGCCTATTGTCTGGAATTCTTCATGAGGATGGTGCCTCCAAAACACACTCTCACTGCAGAGGCCTTAAATCTGGGGGTTTCCCCACCGCCTCCGACCCGGGGGGTAGTAGTAGGACATTTCATTTCACAAGGATAGTGGCTGACTCAGTTCTCTTTCCTATTGATTGATGCCCCCCACTCCCTACCCTTGTCACGTATTGCCTGAATGTGTAACATGGTCCATTCCCATCAATTCCTCGTCCTCATCCCTCTAAATGTAGTCGGACCCAACGGCTTCTTGTTCCAGCAGAGGCCTTTTTCACACGTAGATCCTGGCCTTTTGAAGGTGGAGACGCCTTTCTTAGGAGCCAAGAGATCTGAAGATGATACTGATCCCCGAGTAGGAAGTTCAGCCATTCGACATCTCCCTGAGCTCCCTCCTAGCTCAGTCTCACCTGCTGCATCCTCTGCAGGCATCCCTTTCTTGCCCACTGCTCTCTGATGAGCTCCCATTGCCTCCTGAGACGGCTTGGGGTGTTCATTAGGATGCGCCACCTGCACTTCTGATGGCTCTGGGACCCAGACCGGAGGGGTGGGGACGGCCCGCAGACCCTGCTGTCATCAGCTGCCTGCAGAGAACCGCAGCCGGCTCACACTCATCAAGGCCTCAGCCCCCCGAGGCCTCCAGCTCATTTGACCAGCGCAGCTGCGACTTCGCCATGTGCCTCTGGCAGGTGCCCACGTCGGCATCTTGTCCCACTGCCACGGGGAGTTTATTCTGGCTCCAGGGCAGCCGCCAAGCTCGGCACTGGCCCCCCGCGAAGGTTTGCTCTGGTTTTCTTCTCTTCACCCCAGACTGGGCTTTCTTACCAGTCCCCGTTGTCTGTTTTGTAGAAAGTGCCAAGAGACTGGCCAGAGACCATGAGCCCCTTTGTTTTAACATCTCTTCCCACTCACGCAGCCTCCCCTGGCAGACAGCGCGACCCCTCGTAGGTCCTTAGCACTTGGCGAATTAGAAAACTTTGGGAACTCAAAGGGCTTGATTCTGTAGGATGGTAGCAAGAACTGGCCTATTTGCATCATCTTGACGGCACCTGAAGGCCCCTCCTGAGGTTCTCAGACGTCCTGGCTCCAAGCAGCTTTCTACACGCCCACTATTTCCCTGGTGAAAGATGAAAAACTAGCATGTGTCCTAGGAGGAGCTGAGCGTGATCAGAAAGGCTAGGACCCCAAAGGGGGTGGATGAATTTCACGGGAAGTTAGCCAGCGAGGCTGCTGATCCTTTAATCTGAGACCAGGATGCTGGCAAGTAAGCGGGACCACTCCACCCGTCCCAGCCCAACCCTAGGGACGGAATCTGAGAAGCAAACGCAGGTGCTTACCAATTCAGTGCATTTTTTGAACATCTACATTAGTTGAGCGAACCATCCTTGGGAGCTGAAGGTCCCCCAAGGGTCACCTGAGAAGATGGGGCCTTCTGACAGCAGCTTAGAGAGACACCCACCTTTCCCAGAGTGGCAGAACCCTTCACCTCCGTATCCGGGGGAGAATCAAACTTCTCTGTATGAATAGTTGCAAAGCTATTGTTCAGATTCAGTCTGTGAGAAGTCTCAGTTTATATGTGTCCAACCACCCCCTGCCCAGCTCCACCATGTGGGGAAGGCAGACACCCCCCTCAGCTTGAGCCTCCCAGGCTGCCACGGAGAACCCAGTGGGAACGCACTCTGAGCCTCAGAGGGCCGGGAACGTGGCCGGGTGGACCTGCCTGTGAACTGTCCCAG